CCCAGACTTTGGCTGATTCCTAACACATGAACTACCAGTTACCATTAAATCAAACAACAGACCACTGTTCAAATTTGAATGGTTCAGAGAGTATTGTGAGAACAATGGAGTTGAACACCAAAGAAGAACAACACCATAATGGGCAGAAGCCAATGGAGAAGTCGAGCGCCAAAATGCAGTTGAAGGAATCGAGATTTGAGGAAATGTTAGTTGGTTAGTTAGTCAGTTATTAGATACTTGATCCCCGTAGGAGAAATTCAGGGTTAGGGACAGGTCATAGCAGCAGAGATAGTCTAGCCTTTGGGTGGAGCAGAATGGGTCAAAGCAGCAAAGATGGTAACATTTTATCGAAGCATTGAACATGTGGAACAATATTCTGATGAACGAAGATGTGCTCAGTACTCAAAAGTGGACATAAGAGACAAGTCCTGGCTCAACAAGACATAGTGGACAAGTTTACAACACTGTTTAATGCAACCCCACACAAAATTATGAGCAAAACTGGAAACCAAGTCGTGGTAGCGTGCCCCAAGTGTCCAGAGAAACAGACCCTTCAGAGCTAGAAAGACACCATAGGTTTTGTGATTTTGTAAAGTGATGGTAAACAAGTGACAATTTCTAAAGGAAAAGGTGGATGTCATGTATTGATATCAGTTTTATGCATGGACTGTAAATATTAACGTACGTTGAAACTAATGTGCCACCACTTTTGCCTTCTATGGGCTTCTTCAAAATGGCCATGGGGCAGGAAAATGTGAAAAAACACATTGTGCATGCGTTAGCCGGCATTAGTCCCATTCATTTAACGAGTGCATTTTAAAGGGGACATATCATGAAAAATCCACTTTTTGTGCCTTAAAGACCTTATGTTGTGAAGTTGGAGCCTCTAGAAGTGCAAAAAAGTTTAAATCAGTCTCTTCATGGGTTGCAGAGAACACTTCATATTCTGTTTAGGTAAGATATTTCAACCCGTTCTGTTTAGAATTATTACGTCACTGTATTTGCAGTGAGACTGCCATATAAGGGCATGGGCGTCTAACAAAACACTTCGGCCCAGCCCTCCTCTACTGTGCATCACTTCGAATTTGCAGTCCACGCTCAAGGATGCCAGCGAACATATACAGGGCTGGACTGGCCATCGGGCGTACCGGGCAATGCCCAAAGGGCCGATGCCCATATTTGGGCCGGTCTGTCTGCCTCATACAAAACACATGTTTATGAGAAGTGATAATTCGTGGAGAATTTTTTGAGCGGGGCGCGCGTATCCGCGGGGCACCTGCTGTATGTACTTGAACGGGATTCCACCACCTCAGCGGCCGCAGTGTTCCGGGGCATCTGCGGCCGCTTTGTAATGAGCAGCTTCCGCGTCCAGCGGCTGCGAGAGGCTGTGAGCGTCCAGCGGCTCGCAGCCGCTCCACCGTGTTGTGGCTGAGCGCGCAGCCTCAACGTGGCCGTGTACCCAACCCCATAAACGCGCACAGGACCATGCTTGTCTTTGAGTAATCTATGCACCCAATAAATTCACTGCTGCAGGAAACAGTCCACGTCTCCCCTCTCCTCTCGAAGCGCGATTAAACGCCCTAAATAAAGCTCTGATACCTACATTTTGCATTGCATTAAAAGTTCATGTTTGAGCCCAAAAGTAACATGTTGTGAACAAATTAAACAGATTTAGAGCCAGCAAATGGCTGACAATATGCATTTCAGTCTTCTTTGACCAATTCTCATCCCTGTAACAAACAATAGTGTTGTCTGTGTCCACCTCCCTCACTCTGAGACATGTCTATTACTCTCTTGTAATGTAGACTATTGCATTTTATTTTATTGTTGAAACTGCAAATATCCTGATCCTCTACAGCAGCCATTCCCAAACTCAGTAACACCGAGGCCCCCTTAAAAATCTGACGGGTCTGCGTGGCCCCCCAAAATAATAACCAAGAAGACAACATTAAGAATAGGCTTTTCTGGTTATTTTATTTTGGGGAAATAGCCTCTGCTACAAACATTGTAATACAAAAATGATTACAGTGGATTATTCAAGTCAAATAATGAACACAAATATTTGAATATTACAAACAAAACATTATAAATTTAACATTAAATAATTATATATATTTTTTTATGACCTCCCGCGGCCCCCCTGCAGTACCCTCGCGGCCCACCAGGGGGCCGCGGACCCCACTTTGGGAGACACTGCTCTACAGTATTTGCTTCCACATACTGTATAAACCAGGAGTCGGCAACCTGCGGCTCCGGAGGCGCATGCGTCTTTTTCCTTCTGTAGAAGGAAAAACGTTCTTAACGTTTTTAAATGCTGTAAAATTGTGCGCCAGTAATATTCAATTTAAACATTTCTGTCAACGTAGTGTGTCATATCCTGCGACGTAGGCCCACGCCAGGCGGCCACTGTTGTAAACAAACCGCCGTGTTAGCATCATAGATTGTGCGCATGGATCCCAAAGCTAAAAAGAGAAGAGTCGATATTAAGACTGGACTAAGAATGAAAATTAACATTTGCTTTCAGTCAATGAGGAAGGCCTGCTTCATGTTTGCGATGTAAAGAGAAGTTTCTATGAGATAATTGTATCTGTGCTTAGAAACTACAAAAATGGCCGCTCTGGGTGGAGTTGAACCTGTGTCACCTGGATGGGGGCGTGGTCAAAAGTGCCTCATTTGCATTTAAAGAGACAGCACCAAAACAGGTTGCTCTCAGACGCACCTCAGAACAGGTGTAGAAGAAAGGCCCCTTGGAGCTACAAATAATGAGACTCAGACCCAGGCATTGCAGTTACGCTTTATATAGGCCACAAATTAATGATTTTTATGTAAAAATCTATTATTTGAAAACACGATATGTCCACTTTAAAGTCCACAACGGCTAAACTAGGCGAGTCCAACAAAAAAAACTCCCCTCAGCATTGACACACATCTTGGGCCAAGAGCCATCCTGTTGGCTGGTTTTCAAGAGGAAAGAAGGCGGCATACAAAAACATTGGGTAATTCTCTTTCCGGGTCCACCCCTACTGGCCCGGTGTGAGATTGCAAGCATGTCAGCGCACATGCTCAGGGACCTTTTGGAGTTAGGACCCGCCCCCACTGGTTTTATGTCTATACTTAATGACGTAAGAGTTGTTGGTAGTCTGTATTGATTGTATAAAGCAACTAAAAGACTGCTTGTCATGAGTGCAATGCCTAATTAAGTGTCAAGGTTAGCACACAACAGTCTGTATTAATTGTACTAGTTCAGACAAGATTTACAGAGTCTATATTTTTTGACTGGTTTCAAGATACTCTATTTTGAAGCCAAAAAAACCAATCCTGTGTGGAGAAAAAAACTGCACTTGAGAAAAGAATCTTGCTCCCACTGTCTGTAATTTACTTGAAAGAAGAAAAATTGGGAGAGTGAAAAAATAAATATGAAATCATGGGCCTTTGATTCAAAAAGATTTTTTAAAGCACTTCAGTTCGACTTTACACGTATTAATGTTTCATCCAGTAGCTTTCTATAAGAAGTATTTCTTTAATGACAAATTAAACTTTTCAGCTGTTTAATTTGTTTTATAGTTCAAAAACACTTTTGTAAAATAAAGATAAAAAATATTTCCTTTGAATAAGCTTGTGTTTTTGTATCTAATCATATATGGAACTTTCATCATCAGAATCAGAATAATTTTTATTGCTACGTAAGTAACAGGAAGTCACAGACTTAGAAATAGACTTAAGAATGGCTCAGTGCAACAATCAGAGAGAGATAATAAAAAATAAAGAATAAAAAACACTTCTAAGGAATACATTTAAATTTAAAATAGAGTTACAGTTGCTATTTACAGTATACAAGTGCACATGGTGCACGCAATGTAAGGTGACAGAAGTACAGTGAAGTAAAGTGACGTATGATGGGCAGTAAAGTGACTTTATAAAGGGCGGGGGGACAGGTTAAGAAGTGTTCAAGAGTCCAACAGCAGAGGGGAAGAAACTGTTCTTGTGGCGGGAGGTTCTAGTCCTGATGGACCGCAGCCTCCTGCCTGAGGGGAGTGGTTGGAATAGTCCATGTGCAGGTGAGAGGGGAGTGGTTGGAATAGTCCATGTGCAGGTGAGAGGGGTCGGCTGTGATACGACCAGCCCGGCCTCGAGCTCGGGCGACGTACAGGTCCTGCAGCGATGGAAGGCTGTGGCCGATCACTTCCTCTGCAGAGCGCACAATGCACTGTAGTCTCTGTTTGTCCCTGACTCTGGCTCCAGCGAACCACACGGTGATGGAGGAGGTGATGGAGGAGGTGAGGATGGACTCGATGATGGCCGTGTAGAACTGCACCAACATCTGTGCAGGCAGCTTGGCTTTCCTGAGCTGCCGCAGGAAGTACATCCTCTGCTGGGCCTTCTTGATGAGGGAGCTGATGGTCGGCTCCCACTTGAGGTCCTGGGTGATGGTGGTGCCCAGGAAACGGAAGGACTCCACAGAGGTGATGGGGGAGTCCATCACGGAGGGTGGGGGCGGGGGGACAGTGCTCTTCCTGAAGTCCACAATCATCTCCACTGTCTTCTGGGCGTTCAGCTCCAGGTTGTTACCACTGCACCAGGATACCAGCCGGTCCACCTCCCTCCTGTAGGCGGACTCATCGTTGTTGGAGATGAGTCCAATGAGGGTGGTGTCGCCCGCGAACTTGATCAGCTTCACAGAGTCGTGGCTGGAGGTGCAGTGGTTGGTGTACAGGGAGAAGAGCAGGGGAGAAAGAACACAGCCCTGTGGGGCTCCTGTATTTATAATCCGAGAGTCCGAGACATTCTTCCCCAGACGCACTCGCTGCTTCCTGTCCGTCAGGAAGTCAGTGATCCACCTGCAGGTGGAATCGGGCACGTTGAGCTGGGAGAGCTTGTCCTGGAGCAGGGATGGCAGGATTGTGTTGAAGGCAGAGCTGAAGTCCACAAACAGGACTTGTATTATAGATTAGATGTTTTTGAGTCTATTCATGCATGTTATTTGTTTTTTGTGTCATTAGGAGTCGTCGGGAGCAGGTCCCATGTGAACCTGGAGCTGTCCTCTCCCTCTGGAGACACAGACAGACCTCCATCCGGAGTCAGGTAACTGAACTGCCCGCTGCAAAATAAATTTTAATGTCACAGTAAGTAAGTTTTTTTATTTATATACCGCCTTTTCACTGCACATCTGAGTCTCAAAGCGGTTACAATTGTTAATTTTGGGCATTAGTCTCTCACTCCACACAGAGATGGGAGAGGGGCCAGTACAGGAAGCGCATGCTAGAACTATTGGACATATTTTTAGTGGTAGGGGAAACCGGAGTACCCGGAGGAAACCTACGCAGACACGGGGAGAACATGCAAACTCCACTCAGAAAGGCCCTGGTCCGACCGGGATTCGAACCCAGGACCTTCTTGCTGAGAGGCGAGAGTGCTATCCACTCAGCCACCGTGCCACAGTAGAATAATGAAAATGTGTGTTTTAGTTTTCATAATCATAATGAGTGCTGGTTATGGATGTATTGTTTATGTTGTATGGTGAATGCAAATTGGAATGACATTTAGAAATATGAGCCGGTTGGGGCGATGAATGTATAAGACTGGGACTTGACTTCAAATGAAAGCGCTAGTATTTTCTCTGCTACTGATTGGACAAAAACCTCAGCCCCTAACCTTAATTAATATGACAATAACATTACAACCAAAGCTTGATGGAGTTAAAATAATTAACGGTGTATTTCCTTAACATTTCCTGCTGCTCCCCAAGGGACGGTCTAACAAAACGAAAATACATAAAGTGGCCGCATCAATGGCGGTCCGCAGGCCGGATCAAATTCCAAAATTGGGAGGATCAAAAAGAAAATACTGGTCCACACTCTTAAATCAACTAAAAATAGCAACAACTGAGTCTCTGGTCAGAATTAAGGCTACACTCCAAAATGAGGATAGACTTGCTATGTTTTCCTTTCTCATCTGTTCGGTGGCTGAGTGGATAGCACTCTCGCCTCTCAGCAAGAAGGTCCTGGGTTCAAATCCCGGTCGGACCAGGGCCTTTCTGAGTGGAGTTTGCATGTTCTCCCCGTGTCTGCGTAGGTTTCCTCCGCGTACTCCGGTTTCCTCCGCGTACTCCGGTTTCCCCTACCACTAAAAATATGTACAATAGGGGCGACAGTAGCTCAGTTGGTAGAGCATTGGCCTTTGAGCCTGAAGGTCGTGGGTTCGAGCCCACCTCAAGACCTACTTCACGACTCCCACTGATGACTGCTGTCGTTGTGTCCTTGGGCAAGACACTTAACCCCTCTGCCTGAAGCCCCCACTGAAAGATCTCAGCTCCTGTGGACTCACCACCTGCAGGAGGATCAGTGAGGGGCTGGTGCTCTGTGACTGGGTGCAGCTCTGACTGCCACCCCCCCCGACCCAGAAATGGATTAAGGGGAAGAAAATGGATGGATGGATGGAGGTCTGGCATGCGCCTCCTGTTCGGCGACCCCGCTCCCATCTCTGTGTGGAGTGAAATGCCCAAAAATAACAATTGTAAACCGCTTTGTGACTCTGGTCTGTGAAAGGCGGTTTAAAATAAAGATTACTTGAAAGTCCACACTCCCGAGGAGTGTGTTCGGTAAAACTCTGGCCCTCTGAAAAATATAGTTAATGACCCCTGCTAAGCAGGAAAGTAGCCGCTTATAGTCCAGCAAGTGCTGTATGTGTAAGCTGTATCTATGGGGTATGGTCACTCTGGTCACGCTGGTCTGGGAAGGCCTCGAGATTCACCCGAATGAGCTTGTGGAAGTCTGGGTGTCTGCTCAGACTGCTGCCCCTGCATCAATGAATAAAGCGAATAGAAAACAATAGAATGGAACAATACCATGTCTGTGATTGCAGCTGGGAAATTTGTGGAGACAAATCTGGAAAAAATTCACAAATATAACAACTTGCTCTAGTGTAAGTAAATAAGTAAGTATCCATCCATCCATCCATTTTTTTCCGCTTTATCCGTTGCCGGGTCGCGGGGGCAGCAGTCTAAGCAGAGACGCCCAGACTTCCCTATCCACACACACTTCCTCCAGCTCGTCCGGGGGGACCCCAAGGCGTTCCCAGGCCAGCTGAGAGACATAGTCCCTCCAGCGCGTCCTAGGTCTTCCGCGGGGCCTCCTCCCGGTGGGACGTGCCCGGAACACCTCCCCAGGGAGGCGTCCAGGAGGCATCCGGAACAGATGCCCGAGCCACCTCAACTGGTTCCTCTCGACGTGGAGAAGCAGCGGCTCTACTCCGAGCTCCTCCCGTGTGACTGAGCTCCTCACCCTATCTCTAAGGGAGCGCCCAGCCACTCTGCGGAGGAAGCTCATTTCGACCGCTTGTATCCGCGATCTCGTTCTTTCGGTCATTACCCAAAGCTCATGACCATAGGTGAGGGAGGGAACGAAGATTGACCGGTAAATCGAGAGCTTTGCCTTTCGGCTCAGCTCCCTCTTTACCACAACGGTCCGATACAGCGACCGCATCACTGCGCACGCTGCACCGATCCGCCTGTCAATCTCACGCTCCATTCTTCCCTCACTCGTGAACAAGACCCCGAGATACTTGAACTCCTCCACTTGAGGAAGGACCTCTCCACCCACCTGCAGAGGGCAAGGCACCTTTTTCCGGTCGAGCACCATGGCCTCGGATTTGGAGGTGCTGATTCCCATCCCAGCCGCTTCACACTCGGCTGCAAACCGTCCCAGTGCATGTTGTAGGTCCTGGTTCGTTGGAGCCAACAGGACAACATCGTCCGCAAACAGCAGAGATGAAATCCTGTGGTCTCCGAACTGGACCCCCTCCGACCCCTGGCTGCGCCTAGATATTCTGTCCATAAATAGAGTGAACAGAACTGGTGACAAAGGGCAGCCCTGTCGGAGGCCAACATTCACCGGGAACAGGTCTGACTTACTGCCGGCAATGCGAACACAGCTCTGGCTCCGGGTCATACAGGGATGGATGACCTTGATGACCCCGTACTCCCGGAGAACCCCCCAAAGGACACCCCGGGGAACACAGTCGAACGCCTTCTCCAAATCCACAAAGCACATGTGGACAGGTTGGGCGAACTCCCATGAACCCTCGAGTATCCGATGGAGAGTATAGAGCTGGTCCAGTGTTCCGCGACCGGGACGAAAACCACACTGCCCCTCCTGGATCCGAGATTCGACCATCGGCCGTAGCCTCCTCTCCAGTACCTTGGAGTAGACCTTACCGGGGAGGCTGAGGAGTGTGATCCCACGATAATTGGAACACACCCTCCGGTCCCCCTTCTTGTAGAGAGGGACCACCACCCCGGTCTGCCACTCCATTGGCACTGCCCCCGATCGCCACGCGATGTTGCAGAGACGTGTCAGTCAAGACAGTCCTACAACATCCAGAGACTTTAGATAATCAGGGCGGATCTTATTCACACCCGGAGCCTTGCCACCATGGAGGCTACCAACCACCTTGATGACCTCAGCCAGGGAGATGGATGTATCCGCCCCAACATCCTCAGCCTCTGCCTCTGAAACAGAGGACGTGACGGGGGGATTGAGGAGAACCTCAAAGTATTCCTTCCACCGCCCGACAATATCCCCAGTCGAGGTCAGCAGCTCTCCACCCGCACCGTACATGGTGTTGGCAAAGAACTGCTTCCCCCTCCTGAGGCGCCGGATGGTTTGCCAGAATCTCTTCGAGGCCGACCGATAGTCATGCTCCATGGACTCTCCGAACTCCTCCCAGTCCCGGGTTTTTGCCTCTGCAACAGCCCGGGGCCGCGGCACGCTTGGCCTGCCGGTACTGGACAGCTGCCTCAGGAGTCCCCCGAACCATCATGGCTCGATAGGACTCCTTCTTCAGCCTGACAGCATCCCTTACTGCCGGTGTCCACCACCGGGTTCGGGGGTTGCCGCCGGGACCAGCACCAGAGACCTTGCGACCACAGCTACGAGCCGCCGCATCGGCGATTGAGGCAGAGAACATGGTCCACTCGGACTCCATGTCCCCCTCCTCTGCCGGGACCTGGGAGAAGCTCTCCCGGAGGTGTGAGTTGAAAGTCCGTCTGACAGGGGGCTCAGCGAGACGTTCCCAGCAGACCCTCACTATACGCTTGGGTCTGCCAGGTCTGACCGGCTTCTTCCCCTGCCAGCGGATCCAACTCACGACCAGGTGATGATCGGTTGACAGCTCCGCCCCTCTCTTTACCCGAGTGTCCGAGACACGCGGTCGAAGGTCAGATGATACGACAACAAAGTCGATCATCGACCCCCGGCCTAGGGTGTCCTGGTGCCACGTGCACTGGTGGACACCCTTGTGCTCGAACATGGTGTTCGTGATGGACAAACTGTGACTAGCACAGAAGTCCAACAACTGAACACCGCTCGGGTTCAGATCAGGGGGGCCGCTCTTCCCGATCACCCCTCTCCAAGTGTCACTGGCGTTTCCCACATGGGCGTTGAAGTCCCCCAGGAGAATGACGGAGTCCCCGGGCGGTGCACTGTCCAGTACCCCTCCCAAGGACTCCAAGAAGGCCGGGTACTCTGCACTGCTGTTAGGCCCGTAGGCCGTCACAACAATGAGAGACTTGTCCCCCACCCGGAGGCGGAGGGACGCGACCCTCTCATTCACCGGGGAGAACTCCAACACGTGGCGGCTGAGATGGGGGGCAATGAGAATGGCCACCCCAGCTCGCCGTCTCTCCCCGCGGGAAACTCCAGAAAAGTGGAGCGTCCAACCCCTCTCAAGGAGTTGGGTTCCAGAGCCCAAGCTGTGTGTAGAGGTGAGGCCGACTATCTCTAGTCGGTATCGCTCAACCTCCCCCACAAGCTTGGGCTCCTTCCCCCCCAGTGAGGGGACGTTCCACATCCCAAGAGCCAGCTGTTGTGTGTGCGGACTGGGTCGTCGAGGTCTCCGCCTTCGACCGCTGCCCAGTCCTCTCTGCACCGCTTCGCCACCACGGACCCCTCTGCGGGTGGTGGGCCCACAGGAGGGACTGCCCACGTCGTCCATCCGGGCTGAGCCCGGCCGGGCCCCGTGGGCTAAGGCCCGGCCACCAGGCGCTCGCATACGAGCCCCGACCCCAGGCCTGGCTCCAGGGTGGGGCCCCGGCTGCGCCATGCCGGGCGACGTCACTGATCTCATATAAAGTGCTGTCCATGGTGTCTTCTGGACTGCTCTTTGTCTGACTCGTCACCTGAGACCTGTCTGCCATGGGAGGCCCTACCAGGGGCATGAAGCCCCAGACAGCATAGCTCCCAGGATCATCCGAGTACTCAAACTCCCCCACCACGTTAAGGTGGCAGTCCAGGGGGGAGTAAGTAATAAGTAAGTAAGTGATCTTTATTTATATACCGCCTTTCACAGACTAGAGTCACAAAGCGGTTTACAATTGTGGGAATTTGTCCTCTCACTCCACATAGAGGTGGTAGTCAGATATTATTTCACATTCTAAAACATTAAAAGACAGTAAGTAAATGATCCTATTATTGTTTTTTTTAATGGCTAAAATAATGCATAATATTTCTTCTTCAAACAGTTATTAGAGGGTGGCTGCAGCAAAGGAAAAGCGAGTTATAACTGCTTAGAGAGAAAAGTTGTTCTAATAGCTGGAAACTCATTTGGAAAGATCTGATTAACTTTTAATTTGATCATGTTGCCCAAGGTTATTCAACTTTCTAATTTCTGTACTGCTCTGTAATGTATTTTCTAATTGTAATTAAGAATACCAGAAACACAATCCATCTAAAAATGAATGTAATGTACTTTTATCATCTAAAATATTCTACATGCAGTAAAGTATAGTAATCTGGAGCGGCACGGTGGCTGAGTGGATAGCACTCTCGCATCTCAGCAAGGTCCTGGGTTCGAATCCCGGCCGGACCAGGGCCTTTCTGAGTGGAGTTTGCATGTTCTCCCCGTGTCTGCGTAGGTTTCTTCCGGGTGCTCCGGTTTCCCCTACCACTAAAAATATGTACAATAGGTATGGCATGTGCCTCCTGTACTGGCGACCCCACTCCCAACAATTGTAAACCGCTTTGAGACTCCGATGTGCAGTGACAAGGCGGTATATAAATAAAAGCTTACTTACTTACTTACTATTTGCTCGCTTATTTCTCAATTGTACTGTAATGTTATCTGGTTGTAGTTTATATCAAAGCAACACAAATTGTACAGATAACACATAGTTGAAGCTCCTGTAGACTCACCACCTGCAGGAGGATCAGTGAGGGGCTGGTGCTCTGTGTACTGGGTGCAGCTCTGACTGCCACCCCCCCCCCCGACCCAGAAATGGATTAAGGGGAAGAAAATGGATGGATGGACACATAGTTGAAAGTCAGTATTTTGTTAGGTTCATCAGGTCTTTTGCCTGGTCGTACCATACCATAGTACAAATTACATTTCGTAAAAAGGTTTGGAGGTGCTCCATTGAGCTCCGTTGACAGAGGGGAGGGGTTAACTCCTTTTGCAGATTGAAACAATTAGATCTGAGTTTATTGTGACATATGTAATGCGCCCGAGTTTTTTTTTTATTAAAGTGATGACAGACATCTCTTATCAAAATAAATACTTTCCAATCACACATTTGAAAACATCTTTATCACGGGTTGCGAACTCAAGGCTCTCCCGTTGGCTGTTCCACAGACCGTTCCCCCCCCCCCCACTGCCCTCTGCAGCTCGTGTCTCGTATCTTTGGCCGCTGTCATATATTTAGGCCATCACCTACAGTAAATAAGTACAATTCAATTTATTATTGTAATTCCCTAAATCACAACAACAGTTGTCGTCCTACAACTTTGTAGGACTTTACAAAGCTGTTGATTCCTCAACAACAAATCAGATAATTAAAGGTTTAAACACAGGAAATGAAATTATAACAAACACATAGGACCTATTGGTCCATAAGGAGCAGATGAATACTGTCCATACATTTTAATTCATGTCCATAAATGTCCATAAATGTCCTGGATCACTGTACTACAACAACAACAACAAAAATTGTAGAAAAAAGTGAGAAATCTCCAGGACTCACATTGTAGGACAGGGCTCTTTCTTTTATGTAAAAGATAACATGTTTTCTTGGTTGAAGACAGCATTCTACTTTTACATGACTTATGTTGAGACAAACGGCATGTATTTTTTTCCCACTAGTTCAACAGAATACTACATGTTTAAAATAGGTTTCTGCCCTGAGCTCTGAAATGTTTTCTTTTTGGTAGCTGGGGCAGAGGAAAAGAAAAAGCATCTCTGTCCTTGATCTAAAAAAAAAAAAAGTAGGCTGAAAGACAAATTTACCGGTGTCTATGGCAACTGCAGCCAGAGGCCTAAAACCACTGTCTGTCTTTGCTGCTAACTCTCCTGTTGTGGCTTGTCATTGACTGCATGTTTAACTTTGTCTTTCTAGCCCGGCGAAAGAGGACAGCTCTCCAGACTCCAACCTAACATTAGAGTCTGACTCCAGTGGCATCTTTCTGTCCCTGTCCAATCAGAGCCATGAAGAAGGGGGCTCAGACAGCGATCAGCCAATCAGTGGGTCCGATTTGGGCAGCAGTAGTACCTCGTTGGACAAAGACGGCGAAGACGGTTTAAAAGAATGGGGGCGAGAGGAAAGCGCAGAGCTACAGTGGTGCTACCCGTCTCTGCTCAACACATCCATGCAAGATGAGGACAACAATGGGAATTTGCAGGAGGAAGTTAAAACGGGTGTGAATGTACCGATTATTACAGCTCCAATTGATCAGAATGCATCAGAAGATCAACCACCAAGGAGAAAAGTTACAGTGATGGGTGGTGAGTCTCCGCTATGCCGGTCGCCGATAAACCAATCGACCAAACATCAGATAGATCAGATTAAGAAACCATTTCGGACTTCCGGACTGGACTGCAGCGACATCGACCCGTTTGCCCAGGCCGACAGCTTTGTGTATTTGGCAGTTTCAGCCCGGCCCTCTTCTCATGGCGAAGTGATGGTGAAAGGGAGCGAGTTTAAGAAGGAGATGGCGCCGATGCAAGCAGAGGTCACCACGCAGCTGAGCCAGTCCAAAGCATTGCAGGAAGTCAAAGGAATGCAGCTGGGAGTGCAGAAGCCGGAAGAAGGGGATTTTCTCTGCACCGATAGCTTTGTGTACCTTGCTGCTCCTGCCTGCTTCCTGCTGGGACCGCCAGGAACTGCAGGCTACAGTGGCAGGTATGTGCAAACCATAGACTGTAAATAGATGGTAAAGACGTTGATACAATACAATATGTATACAATGTGCCATTGTAACCATATCAACGGGTTACCATCAATGCTGCATAATAATATAGTTCACAGTTAATTTTATTTAAAAATGACCTCCCCTCATAACTATTATTTATCTATGTTTAGAGAAGCCGCTGTCAGAAACACTTGTTGCTTCCATCTCCAGATATATAGAAAGGGATCTGCTAGTACCTCAGCAGGTGCTGCGTTGCCGCCAGTTCAGAGCAGCATGGAGCAGCTGGCATGAAACCAAATTATGCAACTCACTGAACTCCACTGGAGCTGTGTCACTGGAAATGTGCATTTCAAAAGGAGAAACTACTCCTCGCAGAAGCATATGACATGTTTGACATGTTTTCTAAGGGTCTGTGGTAATGGCTTCTGATGCTTCGTATTTATGCTTTTAAGGGAATAAGCCATTGACATTCAAACGTTGTGGGAATTGCAGATATTAAACACATATTTTTAGAATAAAATGGTTTATAATCAAGCCAAATCATTGTGGAACATGCTGTCGCTGGCTCAGTTGTTTCTCCTCCTCAGCCTCTTGTGCTACCTCACTATTTATTTTTATGCACACAACAAAAAATACTGGTTAGCAAAGTTGAAATTGGGATATTTACATTTTTGTCATAGCCCCAAATCATCTTTACTTTTTCAAACAATGACAATCCGTCACTTAGAGCCCCTCCAGAATCTGACCCTAATTGTTTAGTTAACAGAAGTATACATACGGCTAGTTAGTTGCATTGTACTTACGGATTTAGGCCTAGCGTTGGCGTCATTTATTGTGGGAATAACACAGATTTCCGGATCAGCTTTTGAGTAAGTCCAGTTTCATGGTAAACGAGCAGTCTTTGGAGACTGGCAGTGGCAGATACGCAGATTTGTTGCAGATCTACGCTTGTGCATTCTTCGTCTTTGGGTCAAATTCACATATTTATACCCAAAAACAAACACATTTTCTCCAAGTTGACATGATGCTAACATTTTTAGTTGCTGTCAATAGCAGAAAAACAGCATAGAAGCAAACACAGAGTGTAATAGCGGGCCCATACGCTGGCAAAGGCTGTGCGTGCTGATTCGCTATAATGGTTTCTCTCTCCTGTCAATCACCTCCTGGAGGCGGGGCTTCTGGAGCTCGAGCTGCATGTGAAAGTGGGCTAAGTAAAAAAAGGGAATCAGGTCGTTTTTGTGCCTCTCGAGAATGATCACTCTCTAACTAAAGCTTGACGGAATCAATGACAAAACTACTTTGGGCCTGTGAGGCCAAATAGCACAGTAATGAGGTCTAAACAAGAGAAAAGTCAAAAAGCGTAATATGGGACCTTTAAAGGTGCTTTCACACCGCTGACGCTGATGCCTCGCGCACAAGGGGGACATTCTCTAATTTTCAGACGCAGGGGTCTTCACACCAGAGGTCCTGGCCAGTGGTGGCACCCGCAGGAAGTGGCAGAAGGGGCGGAACAGCAGTATGTGTTCACAGAGGTGTGCCATACTTTATTTTATTATTAAACGCTACTTCCGCATCGGCGAACACGCTCGAAGCAGTTGCATAAAGTCACGGGAGCATGAAAACGCATATGTTCACAAGCACTATGTCTCCCATTGTCAACCCTGGTTTAGTCCTGGTGTAGTTTATGAGTATGTTCAGTCAGCTCGCTCAGACCGCTAATGTCCCCATGACCACTTTGCGGCTCTCTGATTGGTCGATGCACGAGCGTCCCGAGGAAACGCTCAGCAATATTTATCTCCTGCGTACGTCGATTTTCCGCTCCTGCACCTCTGCCACGCCTTTGCCGCACAGTCTGTGCGTCTCTACCGTGTTATACCTTTCATGTCCGTGCGTGCGTCCCGAGACGCACGGAGTTTGCGCTTGAACGCGCGTCAACCATTGACTTTGCATTGAAAGTCCACGCAACACATGATCCGGTGTGAAAGTACCTTAAGACCCCATGGATGAATGTCAAGGAAACAGCCTCAATCATCAGTGTCAAATCACTGAAGTGTTGTTTGTGTTGTGTTTTTCCAGAGACTCGGACTCAGAGAGCTCAGACTCCTGCCCTGTGGATGTTTCGGTTCACGGCTGTGGCTCTGTGGCTGAAGACTCGGACTGGGACTCAGACCTGTCTGACTCGGACCCAAGCCGCCCACCCCGGAGCTCCTCTGGGACCAAGGCTTCTGGGACGTCCCGCTCCAAACGCCCCCCTCCGGAGCCACAGTGGGACTTGTATAAAGACCCACCTGAGCCAGAGGTGAAGGCTATGACTAGCGCTGGTTTAGTCCCAGTTTAGTCCTTGGTCAGATAGGACCAGACCCTAACTAATGCCGCTTGTCTGAATCTGATCTGTTTTTTCTCTTCAGTGCATAGAGAATTTGGAAGGAGCGCCCTCCAGCCCCAATTCGTGCCCGTCTCCCACAGACACTTCCCCGGGTTCGGCCGACTCTTCCGCCGCCTCCAAACGCGTCACGTGGCAGTTCAAGCCCGCACAAAGGTCCGTGTGCACCGGCAGCAGGAAGGAGAAGGATGTGACATCATCAGGAAGCGACCGACCGCCCCCCTCGCCATCGTCTTCCTCCTCCTCCCCCTCCTCTTCCTCGTCCGGATGATTTATATTTTTGTGGATTTTTTCAGACCACTGGAGCTGTGCGTTACTAAAGGTACTTCTAAAGCCGATTCGCCCTGTTCTGCAGAAATGAACGTTGGATGAAAAGCTTTCTGCCTGTAAATGCATTCTGATTTAATCGATAGAAAAGTCTGTCACTTCTACTGGATAGCAATTCTGTTTTTGATACCTGGGGGATAAAATTAAAAAATCTGTGTATATGGAAATGACTTGCAGAATCCTAATTTGAGTGTTAACATTAGCAAGAAGCATTGCAAGTAGCATTTATCTGATTTTGAGTATAGTTTGACTGCCTTAAAGGACAGATTGATTGAGCTTTTGTTCATGTTATAGAAGTCGTAGGCCGTGCCATGTTAGTCCAGCAGCATGTTATTCCCACAACTACCACATGATGGCATTGTAGCTCTCTCCAGTCATCTCATATTTATTATCCATATATTTCATAGTCTAAACACTCTCTATAGTCTAAAAATAATGCATAATATTGATTATATATTATGAATTTATTTTGCAAAACAGATAACCGTGGTACAATTTGAAAAATACTTACTTTGAGTTTTTATATTGGATTGAATTGATAAAGCCTTTTCTACATCCACATGTATGTATGGGGCTAGGATTGAATAAGTTTTCTTCTTCCTACTCCCTTTCAGGCAACTATTTTTTTCCCTCTTATGCATGTTAGCAATGACGGACAAGAGGTGACTTGTGCCCAATGTGAAATGCCTGAAATGAATTAACAAACAAACAAATTCTGTATTAAATTATTAAGTTAATTTAATGTAACCATATTGATTTTATCTTTGTTAGACATAAATGATTATCGTTGCTTAACTTTATCAATTTAATCCAACAGTTTATTTCTTAAAGTGTAGAAGACATTGGAATAATATCCCATGAGCAAGTCTTATTACTATTACTATTATTATTATTATTATTATTATTATTGTTGTTGTTGTTATTAACATTATTATTATTCTGTGTAGCCACTTTTCAAAAATGCAACTTTCCTTTACATAAGCCCAGCCTACTCTCATAGATTCCTTATAGATAGTGAAATTATACTCAAATCTATAAATGTCATGACCAATCAAGACTGCACTCAGCTATATGCACACGTTGACATGAGTTCAATTTCAAATAGAGAAAATTACTCAAGTTATGATCAACCTCAAGTTGTTTTTGAAGGCTGTGTTCACATTTGTCCTGGTTTATAGAGTTGGATGATTTGTCTAGACTTAGTCCTGGTTTAGTTCCTGATTTAGTCTTAGTTTTGATGTGTACAAGTGTGAACGCAGCCTAACAGATGCGTATTTTTGTAGTATGATTAGACTGAATAATAAAATGTTGCATCTCTACTAGCATAGATCGATTTTACCGTCTAATAAAGCAACAGGTTTTATTTCTGGTGGTAGAACTGCTCATCGTTTTGCAGATGATTGTGCTTTTTTGTACTTAGACTGAATGTAAAAAACTGGGAAGCACAAGGGATAACCTTAAACATGCACATGGAAAGCTTTGGTTTAACCCCGTGGCATTGGAGAAGCTGTCAATCTGCAATGCAGTCAATGGTAAAGGGCCTAAACCTGAGTTTTAACCCTTTTCATGTGAGCAACGTAACATAAGAACTCTAAATCATGATAAACATGTAACACATTTATCCTGACCAGAATCCAAACTCAAGCACAGGCCCTTTCGCGTTAAAGGAGACATATTATATGAACTAATGTTTTAAATGGTTTCTCCTCCTCTCTTAGTTGTATTAGGAGTATTGCATTCTGTTTTATACAATCAATTCAATTATTAATATTTAGGGTTGACATATTTCTCATGTTCTAAAGGGTTTTAGAACTTCTTAATGCTTTTTTTCACAATTTTTTTTTTTACTGGGCTGCTTCCTATTTCTTGCTCTGGTCTGAGCTGGGGCTGAGTCAGGGCTAGTTAAAAGAAATCTAGCTAACACAAAAATATGAAAAATTAAACATGATCTGCACGCTACAATTAAATAAAGCTAATGGGGTATAAAAACATTTCTATTGATGGATTTTCTATCTTTATTAACCAAAAAGTGTAATATGTCTCCTTTTAACACTCATTTGACTGCATTTATTAATAATTGACATTGAGAACCCAATGCCCAAAACAGGATAGGATCGATTTATTATTTGATTCATAAGAAAATGACTATAGTATGTGTCTCAGGCTGTTTAATACATATATGCGCTTTACTCCTTAATCTTTCTTTGTGTACTTAAGATTATAAGTATATATAGTGTTTTTTTTCTAATAACCTATAGTGAATTTACATTGTGCCAATAATCTATTTTCAACATTACAAATATATATATATATATATATATATATATATATATATATATATATATATATATATATATATATATATATATATAGACGCATAGAAGTGAATGTGCAGTTTTAAATAACAGGTTTTTTGTAATTTTCTTTATGACAGATTTGGATTGGTGAATGTACTCAACGAGCAATATGCTTATTATTACTTCATGACATTGTAACTGACGGCCAGATATTGATTGTAATAACTGCTGTTTTTATTTAGAGGGTTTTAAGACATTTTACTCATTTTTGAGGGGGAACTTGGCAGAAGGAGTAGCGCACATTGACGCTGAGATGATTGATAGAACAAGTCTCTGACCTGCTCGTGTCTAAATCAACAGATATCTTAGCACTCTGCTAATGTTGGCACTGAAAAATCATCTCACTCAAAATTGCTGCTTTGCAATGCAAACAGACCACAAGGCCCTGTCTAGAGGTAGAATCAAACCCAGGACCTTCTCACTTTGAAGTGTGCTAACTGCTGCATCACAGTGCTTACATTTTTTCTGCTCTCATTCAGTCATGTTGTGTCCAGCTCAAGACCTGACACAATCTACAATATTATTTTCTGACTTTCATTGTGCAGTTTTGGCTGTATTGTTTATTTTTTTCAAAGGTTGACCGGAAATGTTTTTATTGCGTAAGTCAAGAACACTGTCGGAGTTTAGACACGGCACATATGATTCGGTGCTGGCTCAGTCGGGGCAGTATATGTATAATATCACATCATTAGATTGTGTTCCGTTTCTGTTCATCAGAGAGGAAGAATGTTAACAGCTTGATGTCAATCCAGAAAATTCTAGAGACAAAAAGACGTCGATCATCTCAGCATCCGGCCTTTGTAACTGTACCGATATCTGGAATCTAAACGCTTTTCTTCGGCTTTTGAAAACGTCAAATGTATGATCGGATTCAGAAGAAAAAAGCCTGAACTGTTTTTTTAACCTACAATTATAACGCCTTTGTGACAAGGACATGTCAAGAGGAAGGTTATTGAGGTTCTCTGCAAAATGTTTTATCTCCTTTTGTTCAAAATACTAATTGCTTTCACATACCGTTGAATTTGAATACATGTAGAAATTGACACCTTCTTACCAATTAAAAATATACTTAAATAGACCAATCAACTTAAATAGCTAAACCAGTGGTTCCCAAAGAGGGGCCAGAGGGTTTGGATTTGAGTGTTGAGAGTTGGAGAAATGAATTTTAATTTGATAACTTTTGTGGTGTAAAGAAAAGTAGTAATGTAAAGTATATTTTACATACATAACAAAAATATAAAGATGTGACAGAGGCCAAAAAAACATGCATGTGAAAACTAGTGATGGAACAAAGCTGTTTCTTTTGTGATTTGAAAGTTAGGTACTCCAGCTTTAATAAAGTGTCAATTGACCAGGTTCATAATCGCCTCAAACTTTTAAGAAGAAGAGACGTTTTCCACAACTTCCCGATTGTTCGCAATGAATCATTGGTAGAGAACTGAGGCTCCTTTAAATAGGGCTCGTGACAGTTATACCAAGGGGAAGGACTATTATATTATTTATGAAAAAATCTTAATTTTGATGATGCTACAGGGTAATATGGTCAAAAATATATATTCTTATCAAAATTAAATACAGATATCACCTTTATACACAGATTAGTCTTAGTAACTAAGACTCAACTAGGTACTAAGCCTGAATCATTCTGTTTGTAAATCAATTCTTCCTTCTTTATTAAAGGTAAAAATATGTATTTACTATAAAGGGTTAGCCTATTAAAACAGCTACTAAAAATAACCAAAATCAAGCCTGAAGTCATAACTATCACTCTACTATCGATCTACTGGATATAATATGTTTTTTTCCCCAGTGCTCAGAGCTCTTTGGACGGGAAGCAGTTGCCATGGAGATTCAGAGACATGCATCAGATCCATCTATTGTGTAGATATGCATAGAGATATGGCCTTGTGCGCCTGAATATAACATTTTATGAGATTTTTAGACCAATACTAACGTTTCTTTACGTGGAGTGTTTACTATAGCTTGTTTGAAGCACTTTTGCAGAGGAATAATTGGAAATTCCTCTTTTGAATGTTAAAAAATGGCGTCAAGGAAATAATAGGTTGTGTTCATGTGACATCACAACACTCAATGTGGTTTGACAATGTGGTGGAGGGCTGATGAGAAATGTTTGCTGGTAACTATTATGAGTCAGTCTTAGCAAATGTATACGTAATTTCTGATCCAATCACAACAATAACCGTAATAAAACTTGACATCTTTTCTCTTAAATGTGTCTAGAAATGGTGACAATTGTCAAAAAACAAACATGACGGTGGCCTGTAAACATAACTTTCAGACATAAGAATAGTATGTAGGATTTCTATCGATGGTAATTAGAGTTATTTTGGGATCTACTGAAATAGAATTCTAGAACATGAATGAACCTACACCTAATGTTCCTTTACAGTTGAGCGTTTCCCGGAGCTGGTTTGAAGCACTTTTGAAGAGGAATAGACTTGGAATGGGTTTATTTCTGGGTTCATTGGAATGTTTAAAAAATTGTGTGCACTGCAAATATAGAATAATAAGTTCTAGTGCAAGGCTTGAGTCAAGTTTCAAGCAGCAAGTTTTATGATTTGTTGAA